GCTTGTCCCACGATGAGGTTGTGGTATGGTTGCATCTTGCATAGCCGAAACTTACGAAGCAATTAGGCGATCCGAAGTCCGGACCCGCGAGCGCCGCACCAAAACACGTGTAAACGCGATCCAAGTCGCGTCCGTACACGCATTCCCGTGCGTCGACTCGCTCACCCTGAAAGGAATCATAGGCGGAACCATCATCCCGTACGAGCACGCTGAGGCGCCACCAAGTCGGCCTGTCCTACACGCGCTCATGCGAGGTGACGATACCCCGACCCACTCTATCCCATCTGCAATGATACCATGACGCGATCTTGGGGCTCAGACTCGTCCTATGACCCGGACTATTTCACCCCTATAATAAACGAGCTCATAAGGACGCGATACCCTTGTCACACGGAGAATCGGCTATGTCCGCGGGAATTCCACTCTGCCACTACTAGCGACCCTCGGTGCTCCGATTTCCCTTCCCCCGACCACACCTACTACTTCAYCCACCCGGGATTCGTTGAGATCACCACCAGTTTCCCTCCTTTCCRCCTCCKTCTCCCGTATCATCAACTCAGTGTCGTCCCGTGGCCGGCCATAGCCCCCTATTGGCCCAACACGTTTTGCGTAAACTGCCGACGCAGCAGCGCACAAAGAACCTCGGAACTCCGAGGGCCCAACCCAACTACGCGGCGGCCTGCGCCACGTGGCGGCCCCCGACGGCCTAACTTTTCAAGACCATCTCCACCACGGAGGAATTTTCCCGTAACCCATCGCCCGCAGTGTCTCGGCCCCTTCGGACTGTGAGGCCCTTGCGCGCGTACTCCCCCCCCGTTCGCCTAATTGCGTCCATACCCCTAAGACTCCCCCACTTCCCCCAAAAATCCTTGGCACACCCCTTTTTGCACTTCCAGGCCCACACTCCACTCCGATCAGGAAGTCGCGTTGGGCGTGAGGTTGGTATCGGAGCCCGACACGCGGCTAGGGTCTTAGGATTGATAGCACGTTAATTAGGCAACCTGGCGACCTCGCCCTCGGAACGCGCATAGACGCGACCCTATCGTCACCAGAAGCTGATCGGCTAACCGACGAGCAGCCAATATGGCTGCCAATGTGCAAAATCTGGTTCCGCAACAAAATGCTAATCCACCTAATCAACCTGCCCCACGTGCACAAGCTCCTATGTCGCCACCTGATCTCTATCTGTTTGATCCAGCGCACCATCTCGCAGGAGCATGGCTGGCCACGCTTAGAGCACAACAGTACGACGATCACAAAGCACAGATCAACATTCCGGCTCGAATGGGAGGAGACGCTCATCATTGGTATAGTACCTATGTGTGGGTGGACCTCCCGACCTTCGAACGAGATTTCGTGAACCGATTTGATTATGTCCACCCTGAGCAAGCGCTGTACATGATCAAGGACCGGGTGCAAAAACCGCTCGAATCCGTCACGGAATATCGAAACCGGTTCTACAGAATGTTCGTAAAAACTGAGCGAGGTGAGCAAGAAGGGAGAGATCTGTTCATTGACGGACTCCGCAGCCGGACAATAAGGGCTAAGTTGCGAAAGCAGTTTTCCCCCATCACCCATACACTACAACAAATTATGGCTGCTGCGGAAGAAATGGAACGGAAGTTCGCGGCGAACTTCCTGGAAGGAGAAGACTACCCTAGAGACGGAGATTCGACCGAGCTCGCTCGAGCAAGAGCGGAGCTGGCTGCTTTACAGAACAAATTTGAAAACATGGGGTTTGTATCAGGACCTGTCACCGATATGGAACAGATAGGCCCCAAACGAGTAGTCCTAAGTGAGACTCCGAGCATCTCTGCTCCTATGATGCCCCCGCCCGTCAGGGCATTACCCCCGCCACCGGTTGAGGCTCCTGTACGATCAAACGAATCGGCGACCATTTTCGAACTAACCAAAACCTTCATTCGTTTGATCCAAGAAAGCAAAAAGGAGCAGCGAGAGCACAATACTCGGTTGGAAGCCATGATGAGGAACATACGACCTATTGCGGTACGCGCCCCTCCGATGCCGCAAGGATTAGCCCCGGCCCCTGCGCTCGGAAGAGTTGCGAACAATCTGAATGTTTGTTATGCCTGTCATCAGCCAGGACATCTAACCCGTGATTGCCCCCACCGACCCCCACAATAGCGGACCGGAGCCGCACTCATGGCCGCGGCTCCCATCTCCAACGGACCTGGACGAGTCAGAGCCTTGATGGAAGAAGTAGAGGGTGGGGAAAGTGCCCTGGCTACCTCGGAAGAGGCCGCCGAACTAATCCTGCTAGATCAGTACGTATCGCTGGGATATCCTGGGCTTGGAATGATCGGGACAATCAGACCAGCGCCAAAACCAAAAGAGGTGGCGGAGTGGCGACCGTCCCTAGGAGAAATGGAGTCGGGAGGACCCACCTTCGTCACAGGAGAGATCGATGTATTAAACATCATTCGAGCTTTGGACCATCGGATTCCCCTTCCGATTGGTCATCTGCTCTCGATCTCCGAGCAAGCCAACGAGCGAATGTTACAGCATTGCAAAGCGAACCGAAGGCGATTCGCCCTTGCCCGAACCCCGAACGCGAAAGCCAAAAGCCCCGCGCCTGAAGAAAACCCCGCAAGTACTTCGGACCCGATACGAGTAGGTTTAATCCAGAAATATGATTATTTCCTGCGGATTAAACCAATTCCGTGGAAATCCGCCGAGTGTGATATAGAAATTTGGGGAATCCCTTACAATGCTATTATAGATTCGGGAGCAGTTGTGTTGGCTATCTCACTGAGGGTGGTCGAAAGGGCATGTAGGAAAAACGACCTGATCAAGCTTTCTGAGAAAGATCAGCTCGTTTCGGCTGACGAAGAAAAAATTAAAACCGTGGGAAGAATGACCAATGTCGCTTTCCGATTGGGTAAAGTGCATGCGCTTGGGGATGTCGTAGTACTAGATGTCAATACGTACGACGTTCTCTTCGGACTTCCCGCTCTTGTGGCGTTACGAGCAAACCTGGACTTCGAACGGCGATCGATCGTCCTCCGAAATACAGGAGGAAAACCCTACGCAGTGCCCATGCGCGGTTCCCCGGGTTTCGCCGATGATGGCAGGGACTCTCCGCATGATCTCCTGGGAGAAATCCTTAGAAGGAGAGTCGTCAACAGATGATGCGGAAAATAGTGACGAGGATGATCCAGAGATCTTGAAATTAGCACGACAACGTGTTTGTTACCCGCCGCCCAAAACGATAGCTAGAACGATGCAACTAACCAGCCGAAAGATTCAAAGGACCAAGGCGATGATCTTGGGTGAGCCCCTCGTGCAGATTTCAAGGATGGTCGATTCTTTGGAACCCCCTCAAACTCTGTACGAAGGAATCACACCTCTCTTCGCCCGGTACAGCGACAAGAAGCATTACTGTGACATTACGGCTCTACCCAAGTCCTTACTAACCTCGGCCAAAGAAGTGAGATTGTTACGCTTAGGGGCGGAAGCAAGCTCTCTAGAACCCCCTGGGCGTTTTGAAGCGGAAACCGACGAACAGGGGATAAAGATCACAACCAAGGAAGTGCCATGGCAGGATGTTTGTGACGGGATTACCCCGGAAGGACACGTGGCAATCGGAGAAGAAGATGCTCAGATGATGGCCACGGTGTTCTCCTGGCAATCGGATCATTCATTCATCTCGGCGCCTCCACCCGATTTGGCAAAACAGGCGAACACGAAACAGATTGACGTTCGGATCTGGGACCAACTTTTTGAACTACACGTCCCACAATATGTGCCGGATGAAATCCACCAGGTAATTGCCGACATTCTTACAGAATATCAAGAAGCAATTAGTGTGTCAGACACTGACATTGGGCTGTCGTTAGTAATCCAACACGAAATTCAGACAGGAAATCATTCCCCGATTCATTGCAAACCTTATTGTTATTCCTTGATTGAACGCAAAAAGGCTCTCGAACGAATTCGGGAGTTCGAAGCCAGTGGTTGGATTGAACCCGCTACCGGACCTTGGTCCTTTCCCGTAGTATTAGTGCCGAAGAAAAACGGGGCGATTCGCATTTGCATTGATTATCGCAAGCTGAATGAAATCACGATAAAAGATGTGTATCCCCTCCCCCAGATTGATGATTTGTTGGATGCGATCGGGTGCGCTAATTATTTCAGCAAGTTTGATATTCGGCATGGCTTCCATCATATTCTGGTAAGGGAAGAAGATCGACCGAAGACAGCCTTTGTGTTGTTTGAAGGCACGTGGCAGTGGGTTCGGTGTCCGATGGAGATTTGCAATGTGCCTGCCACGTTCCAGCGACCGATGAACATGACGTTCCAGAACTTCGTCAGCAAGACACAACTGACGCAAGGAATGATTAACTTATGTGTGATCGTGTATATGGACGACATCCTGGTCTATTCGGAAACCTATCACGGGCACGCGCAACACATCGAATGGACATTGGGTTCAAGATTACGCTTGAGAAGAGCGAATTTTTCCTCTCAGAAATTTCGTTCTTAGGCTATGTCGTGACATGTGGAGGATTGTGGCCAGACTCGAAAAAAGTTGCGGTGGTGAAGGAAGCTCCGGTTCCCACGTCACTGACGCAGGTTCGAGCCTTCTTGGGACAGGCGTCGTACTACTGGCGCTTCATCAAGGGCTTTGCCGCGATTGCACAACCACTAACGAATCTGTTACCGAAGGACCAGCCTCTCAGCTGGGACGCGGAGTGCCAGCAGGCCTTTGCAACCCTTAAGGACACTCTAGCGACGACCACTATTTTGATTCGACCGGACCCCTCGAAGCAGTTCATTCTCATCACGGACTGGCAACCGGAAGCTATTTCCGCTATTCTAGCGCAGAAGGGGAACGATGGTCGCGAACACATCATCGAGTATGCGTCACGAACCGTGCCGGACGAACGAAGGAACGACTCAGCACCTCAAGGCGAATGCTATGCAGTGATCTGGGGAATCCAGCACTTCCATCCGTATCTCTACAGACAAAAGTTTCGCCTCGTGACGGATCACGAACCTCTGCTAGCTTTGAAGAAGCTCACCAACTACACAGGCATGATTGGCCGTTGGGCGGTGCGACTGCAGGAATACGGCTTCGATATCGTCCATCGAAAGATAGAGCGACACGGCAACGCGGATGGGCTGACACGTCTGCATCGACCTGCCAAGGTACCAAAGGGCGAGGAAATTACCCCGTGGAAAGAGCCGGACTTCACCAACGAGCCGAAGTACGGACAAGTGGCAATTCTTCCACGTGGCAAAAAGCAAAACGGTGGCGATGGGGGATGGAGGTAACCCCACTACCCCTCTCTCCCCCCCTTCCTCTTCGTCTCTCCTCTCCCTGCTTGACAAATTTTGCTATTTTTGCGAAGCCATCTCCCACGTCTATTCGGTCTCCATGCGTCCTAACGGGGAGCGGTATGTCGATTGGATAGATTGTCGACAGTGCGTTGCACGAGCCCATGGCTCGTGCATCCAATACAGAAACGATAGTAAACCGTGGATGTGCCCCTTGTGCCGGACCGACAAGATTCCGACCGAGGCTCGCTTGTTGACGCCACGTCAGAAGGGTTGGAAAAGACCCGAAAATTTAGGAGGGCTGAAGTATGGACGAATATTGTCTTAATTGCCACCCTAGTAGGTAACCCCCTCCAGAATTTCACCAAGGAAGATCGGAGGAGGGCAAACGAAAGGGCTCGGGATTATCGATGGATAGAGGGCAGATTAGAAAAACGAAAAACGGACGGCAGTGGGATTTGGATGGTGGTGCCGCATCCGTTCATGAGGTATGACTGGGTTAAGACGACACACGAGGAAACTGCGGCTCATTTTGCCGTACGAATCACGGAGTCCGCTATCGACAAAAATGAGTGGTACTGGTCCAATATCCGCGACGATGTGAAATACATCGTCGCCAACTGTCAAGTCTCCGCCGCTGATAAAGCGCCAATTCAGCCACCAAGGTCGATAGTGCCCACGATTGTTGAACGGCCATTTCAAAGAGTAAGCATGGACACTACCGACATAGTGGTGCCCCCTGGCCCTAATAGTTGCGAATATTCAGTCCTATTGGTATTTGTCGACCATTTCTCGAAATGGATCGAAGCGTATCCTTGTCGCACGCGGCAAGCCACGTAAAACGCACGATATGTCAACCGTTTCCTCGGGATGCATCAGGATACGAAAGAAATCCTGACCGACAACGGGGCTGAATTCAGGGGAGAAGTGTCAAGGAATCTGGTCGTACATGGCGTCGCCATATGCAACACTGCACCCCACATGTCACAATCCAATGGGCTTGTCGAAAATGCTAACCGGATGATAAAGACAGCGTTGCGACGAAACATCGCGGCACGGGATCCGAAACCCTGGCCCGATATCGTCGATCACATCCTCGCGGTCCATCGCGGAACGCCCCACGAATCGACGGGTCTAAGCCCCTTCCAATTAAGGACCAATAGTGTCGCTTGCGTTTCGATACCAAGCCTCCCGGATGAGTCTACATTGAACCGACGGCCCACCAGGGCTACGGCTCAGGACAAGGCCAAAAGACACTTAGAGTTAATGGAACGGTCGCTGCCCAGGCTTGCCCGAAAGCGACAGAAAATGACCGAACTAGCCCAGGGCCGACAGATCCGGAGCTACGAGGCCCGGAATGGGAATGCGGGTCCGCGGCCCCAATACATATTGGGGGACCTGGTGCAGGTGAGGAAATGTGCTCGCCAAGGTAAGCTCGCGCCACAATTCTTCCGGCGATATCGCGTGATCGAGCTCGGCCCCAACGGCGTGGACACCGTGCGTCTCGCCCCTGAAGTCTCTGGCAGTCGATCGGCTCGTCCGATCACACGCCATGTGACCTATCTTCGCCTCCTCCCCTCTGCTCCGTCTCCTTCTCCCTCGATCTCTCTCTTTGAGGAAGCCGAAAACGACGGCTCGGACTCTTTGCCATCTCCCTCCCTTTCTTGCTCCCTCTCTGCCACCCCGTCACCCCCGCCATCGCCATGAGTTTCGCCACCGAGCGAGCTTTCAATGACCAGTTGCTGATGCCACGGCGCGGCAGAGTTCCGATTCACGAGCAATCCCCAGGTAGTGGTGCTGGCCGAGGCAACGGCGTTCCAACGACGAGAAGCCACGTGTCTACCGTGGTAGTCTTCAGCGGCGACATCACCGCCTTCGATCTGGCGCGGCAAGCCGCCATCAAAAGCACCTTGTACCGGTGGGGTCGCGATCTGGCCGCTGATTGGGATCGACAACTCACAAGGCACGATGACGAGTGCTATCCTGTCGACGGCATCGAAGTCAACACGCTGCGCATGATGCTACGCAAGCCACCTGTCGTCCTCCCATAACTTGCTCCCTTCCAGCCGCGTAGATGAGCCGCGCGCCGATCTCGACGTTCTCTCCTCCCTCTCTCTTCCCCATCTTCTGGCAGTCCTCTCACTACCCTCGTCTCTCCTTCCGTCTGGAGACACTGACAGTACCCATCATCGATCCGGACCGTTGGAGGCTGTGGCGTGCAGAATTTGTCGAGCTCTCGTTTTGCCTGCTACAAGTGGATTTGAACTGGACGTGGGAAGGCGATCAGAGGCCCGCGTCGGAGATTGTAGAGTTGCTCGTCATTGCGTGGAGGACCAACGTGGCGGAAGATCTTTTGGGATTCGTCTTTGGAGCAGTGGATCGGGGAAACCGATCACAGATCGTGCGCGAACTTACGATCATGATCATGCGATTGGCCGACGAACTCCCTCTCGACATCGTCTCTCAAAGCGACGAAGAACCCGTGCCACATACCCTCTCAAGGACTCTCGCCCCGAGCCTCCAGTGGTCGGCTTGTATCGAGGAGCACTGGGCGGACGACTGTTTTCCCTCCCGTAGCGAGTACCTGGACATCCACAGCCTGACTAATCCCCGCTTCTTTCGGCAACCAACGGCTTTCGAGTGGGCGGCGCTGACAGCAAAAGAGGAGGCCGAAGAGGAATCGGAAGGAGAATTGAGGAGAGAGGCCGGGGAAGCAGCGGCCCGATTGGCCGAGGACGAGGAAGAAGAGCGCGAAGCAGAAGAAGAGTCGGCGGAAGCTGAAGAAGAAGAAGAAGAAGAAGAACAAGCAGAGGAGGAGACTTCGGAGGAAGAGGAAGAGGCCTATAGCGAGTACAGCAAGGGCGAGCAAAGTGAGGAGGAGGACAAAGACGACGAAGAAGTGGAAAGTGGGGACGACCAGGAGCCAACGCACGACAAGCTCGAGTGGGTGCCATGACCGGATCGGCGAGAGGAGAACCCGGAGGCTGCTGCGCAGCGCAAGAAAGAGATCGCGAAAGGAAAGCGGTTGGCGATCGATCCTGCACCGAACGATCCTTTCAAGGATCCCGAGCCGCCCAGGCCGGAACATGGAGACCTTGCTGCCACGACCTCGGGAGCCGCGACGACAAGGCGCCGATCCCGATCCCGATCCACGTCCCCCTCCGCCTCCGCCCGTCCCCCAATTCGTCAACGTGTCAATGAGGGGCTTAGCCCTTCGTCCCCGATCCATATACCACCATCCCCTTAGCTATCTCTCTTTCAATCAGTATTTCCATCGCGTCGTCTACCCCCGTAATCCCTTCCCCATCGCCACCTTCCGACATTTCTACTCCGCCCGCCTAGAACTGACTGTCCACCCCCACCCTTCCGTTCGGTGTGCTGTCCCCGACTACTCCCTCCACGTTCTACTCCTTAGCACCGCGTGGCGAGGCCGTAAACATATAGAGGTTTACTGCATCGTTACGGGGACCTTCCCCGCGTGCGAGAACCATGATCGGTTCCGCACAGACGTCCTCCGAACCCTCGTATCCCTTTACCCAGACTACCTCGCCTCCCTTCCCCCCAGCGGCCAGAGATTCCCCCGCTTCCATCGCATTGTCCGTTTTCAAGAACTTCCTTACGACCTCACTGCGATCGGGCGCTTCATACCCGAGCTTACGATGGAGCCGCCCAACCCTCCTTCATACGTGTATCGCCTTCCCTTCCCCCTTCCAGTTAATTACAGATGCAACGGTAATGGACTCCTGTAGCGGCGACGACACGAGAAAGATCCTGTCCTTGGATCGTCGAAGAGCCCAATCTGAGGAACTAGTAGAAGACCAGAGTTGCCACGTTGAATGACGTCCACACGCAATCGAACGGTAAGTGGCATATAGAGAATTGCTCCGTGTGTCGATCAATTAGAGAAATCAACACGTGTCAACAAGCAAGCAGGAGCTTGCTAATATTGGAACCCCCTGGGCGTCACATATGTGACGAACCACTTTCTGTAACGCGCGATTTTCTGCGCGGTTGCAATGAGGGGTCCTAAGCTCGGAAGATTGGGCCAATTACGGGAGATCGGGATCGATGGAGAATTGCATCAGTGTCCTCGCTTTTTCGTCCTTTTTCGTCGTTTCGTTTTTCGAATCGCCAAGCACGGGGTCGGGTGTGGTGGATTGATTGGTCGGATGGTTGTTTGGCGCGATGCCACGCGCGCGCGCGATTAATAAATATCGACGTCGTTTCTTTCGGTTTGGTTTCGATCTTTTCGGGCGCGGACATCGCGCGGGAATTTACTTCGTTCTTTTTTGAAATTCCTCTTGAATCTTTTTTGAATTTTTTCGAGCCCCCAATGGCTCTCGGAATTTCGGACTTTCCTTCTGGAATTCGTGCTTTTTGCTTTTTCGCATTAGATAGGAATTTAGGAATTCAGTAATTAGGATTTTTCCTGGCGCACAGCGCCTTTTGTTTACGAGCTTCTTCATGCGGCTGCAACAGTACTTTGATTAGTGGGCGCCCTTAATCGTATGTGTAACTGTAATTTTGGGCGGGCGCCATTGTAACTGTATCTCCCTTCTTGCACTTCGTCTCTCCCGCCCTCCCTCTCTTTCTCTTGCTGAAATTTTGTAAGGCGCGGCTTGCATGCTCGGATCGATGCGTGTAGAAGGGTTACGTCCCCCACGCCACGGCCGATCATGCAGAACGCAGGCGTTCCCTCTCTAATCTTCACTCTAAGTCTTGGTAACTCCGTGTTCTTCGTGCATGCATGCACGCTATAAATTTCGGCTGCGCGATTAGTCAGCTCTCTTAACCCGTTGTTGGAAGCTCAGGGTTGCGCGATCAGGAAGGGTCGGCATACGAGCGAAGTAAGAGGTGAGTAGAGTTGGAGTTGGGCGACCCGACGGGCTGGTGCCAAACGCGCGGGATTGACGTGGGCCACGACGGACTGTGG